CAGGCCTGGGGGCGCCCGCCCTGCCCTGCTGCATCCCTCACAGGGCGATGGGACAGAGCCTGGGCTTCGGTGTTCAGAGCTGGTTTCCATGGCTCGGGGACTGGAAAGACACTTGGCTGGATATGTATCTTTGGTTTACACTTCATTTCATTGGAATTTTTAAAAATGGTTTTTCCATTGCTGCCTTGATTTATGTGTCGCTTTGGACGAGTCTGGTGCCAGGCTCCTGTCCCGACTGGCACGGTAGTTGGGCTTTGTTGCCGGAGGCCTCGAGGGTGTGCCCTCATCTTGGAAATCTCGTCGTGTCCAGGTGCGTCTTACAGTTCGGCGTCGGGCTCGTTTATCAGGCGCCCGCGGACCGTTTCTGTGTCAGTTTGCGTGTCTGCTGTCCGGAAGGTTCCCTTGGATTACGCCTTCAGCTGTCGGCTCCGATGGCCTTGGTCGCCCTCTGGGGCTGCGGTGATACGTGTTCTTTCTTCGTCCACTTCCGTTTTTACTTTTTTTCTTTCCTGCTGTTTTTTCATCGTGTCATTTTCACTTTCTTGGTTGGATTTTCCAGCTCCGGCGTCCCTTACGAATTTTCCTGTCAGTCATTTCTCCTTTGGCACTTGGAAATTTACTCTTTTCTGTGGGGATTGCCTCTTTTTTTCCCATTTCTTCCCCCCCTCTCCCTTCCCCTCCCCCCTCTCTCCCACCGTTTCTGTCTTAGTTTTTTGCATTTCTGACTTTGGTTCTTCACGTTCTCAAATGCTGGTCTGAGTGTTTGATCTGTTTGCAGCGTAGTGTTGTAAATCTGTTCTGATCCGTGACCCTTTTTCCGAAGTGGAGACTTAGTTCTCGGTTGTATGTGCACGTTTTTCTTTCTTACTTTTTGCAGCCGCCTCGTGGGACTGGGTGACCTTTCTTTGTTCGCCGTAAGGGTGTCTGGGCGTTTATGGGATTCCTGGGTGAACAGCACCCTCTTCTGTTCACCCAGCAAAGTCCAGGTGTGTCAGGGGCTCCGAGGCCAGTGGCGGGCAGTCGCACGGTCCCCCTCTGTCCTGTGAGTCCCTGTTCCCCCTCCCGCCATCTCCCCAGGTGCCCCCCCCGGTGTCCCCCTCTTCCGGGTCCCTGCTCGTCCGGAGCCGCGCCCCCCGGCACGCCTTCCCACGCTGCACCAGCCTACACCCTGCAGTCTCTTCCCCACGGACGAGCGGACGAGGGGCCTTTGCTGGCACTTTTGGGGCCGGAGGCTTCTGGCTGCACCTCAGGATCTGCCTCAGGACCCCCAACAGCTCCCGTCTGCCCTGTCACAGTGCGCAGTGACACGCTGGTAGCCACGACCACCCAGGACTGGCTCAGTGACCGCCGGGGGCCAGGGTGGAGGGCGTAAGCTGCTGGCGTGGCTGCAGGCCTGAGGACCTGTCGGGTCGCTGGCCCTGGGGGCGAACGGTAGGCACAGTGCCAATGGCTGGACGCTCTAGTGTGGTAGCAAACCAGCGTCCACTCATGGCCTCAGGGTGTGGGCCCCCAGAACGCCCTGCCACACCCTGCCAAGTTCGGGGCGAGGAGGAGGACCCGAAGGCACTGGGCAGTGCCCTGAGGATGTCACATCAGGCAGCGTGTCCTTCGGTCCCTGTTTGCAAGACTGGTCATTCCGCGATAAGAAGGTGACAGGGGCGTTGGCCATGCCCTTCCTCCTCCCAGACACACGGGGGGTGCAGGAGCCCCCCCACAGGGCCGTCTGCGTGTGGGCAGGAGTGGGCGGGGCATCAGGCTGTTCCTGGGGAGCAGTGTCGGCTAGGGGTGAGGGTCGAGTGGCCGGCTCTGCCAAGGGCCAAAGAGGCAGGGGCCAACAGGAGGCACGGGCAAGAGAGGCTGCGAGGGACCTGGTTGGTCTCTGGGGTGAGCGCAGGGCCTGACTCGCCCGAGCCGCCCTGTGCCAAGATCAGCTCTGAGCACACGTGTCCCCACGAATCTGTCTGCTGCGCCCAAGTTTCCAAGGAGATGGGCACCGTCGTCCGCGCCGCACCCCCCGGCTGCAGATGCGCAGGCAGCGTCTCATCCCTCCCGTGGTGGCCGGTGTGGCCCTTCCCGGTCTCGCAGGTCAGTCTCGTCCCTCCCGTGGTGGCCGGTGTGGTCCTTCCCGCTCTCGCGGGTCACCAGGCCTCTGCCACCGGCCCCTCCGTCCGCTGCTCTCCACTCTTCAGGCTCCGTCTTTTGCTTTCTCTGGTTAATTTGCTGCACGTGTCTGGCGGCAGCTCTGGCCGAGGGTGGCAGGCCAGTGGCCGTAGGCTCTGGGGAGAGAGGGACTGCCCGCTGGGTGTGGTGCTCGCCCCATCTGCTGCCCCGTGCCCCGTCTGGTCCTTGCTGGAGCCCCTGGAGAACCAGGAGGGAGGGTGGTGGCCTGGTGGTGCCCGGCCACTGTGGGCCTCAGGCCCCCTCCCGATGCTCAGCAGCCAGTCCCTGGGCCTCTCCGAGCACCCCAGGCCACTCACATCTACAGTGCCCCCCGCTGGGTCCACGTGGCCCTGCCGCACTTCACTGGGCACCCCTCTCTCCTGGGCCGTCCCGTCAGTGGGGTGCTGGGAGCGAATGGAGCCTGAGCACCGAGGGGGGCCCGCGGCCGCGTCCAGTGGGACACGCAGTCGCCTTAGGGAACTCCCATCACGCGGTCATGAAGAGCGTGGGGGGCCCAGCTTCGGGCACCGCTGCTCCCCGTGGCCTACAGTTCCCCCTTCAAGGGAGCAAAGGCCACTGCGGGTCCCCTTCCTGTCACAGCTCAGACAAGGCAACAGCCAGGCACCGTCCTCCTGCCGGACGTGCTGCCCACTCCCTGCTGTCGCCAGGCTGCTTCCCGGCCACACTGCAGGTTACCCGTCCTGCTGACACGCCACCTGGCGCTCCTCCTCACAGGGACATTCCACGCAGGGCCTGGTGCCCGCATCCTCTGTCCCTGCGGACAGCTCCGTGGGTCTGAGTCCTGGGCACGGTCACTTCCCGTCAGGGCCCACACGCCCTTGTCCCCAGGCAGCCTGTCTCCCCCAGGCCAGTTGAGTGCAGCCCACACTTGTCGAGGGGCCCGACTGCCGGGCACTGGCACCAGCGGGAGACGGTGCCAGGTGGGGTCCAGGGACCGACGTGTTAGGTGTGGGTCGCGGGTGCGGGGCCTGCGTCCGGGTGCTGTGCTTGGGAGCGGAAGGCAGTGTTGGGGGGTTTTGGTATATGCTTCAGAGCCAGCCAGTGCTGCCCTGTGTCAGGAGGTGCCCGGGATGTGGGGGGCGAGCAGGGCCCAGGAGGAGCCCCATGGTCGGCACGGGCTTGTACGGTTAAGTTAAGGACAGGCGGGCTGGGGACCTGGACACAAGCACCATCCTGGCCTCCGAGGGCCCCAAGGCTGCCCGCCTGCTGGTCCCCGTGGCCCCTCCCCTATCGCAGGTGGCCCTTCCTGCCTCTGCACCCCGGGACTGGGCACAGCCCCTCGACGTCATGGCACAGCTGCCTCGTCACCCAGCGGGGGCCCCGGACTGCCGCTCGGCCGCTCTTGGGGACAGTGTCCGCGAGCGCCTTGTCCCCTGTGAGCTGGTCAACACCTGCTCGAGTGACCTGCGGGCCACCCAGCTGTCGAGCGAGCCCTTGACGGTGTCACCCCGAGGTGCCACCCATCGTGCGGGGCGCCCCGGCCTGCCAGCGCGGTTCACTGCGGGGATGCGACGCGGGCGGGACCCGTGTGGACGCGGGGCCTTTGGTCCCCCCAGCCGTGCCGCAGGCCGGTGCCCTGCAGCGCTGCAGAACCC